ATTTTATATTTACATATTTATATATTTTATATTTACATATTCTATTTTTATACATATATATTTTATAACTTATATTGATACATTTTATATTGATAGATTTATATGGACGGATTTATATCGATAGATTTATATCGATATATTTATATTTATATATTTATATAAATATATTTATATTGATATGTTTTATATTTCTACTCTATTCAGACAGTAAAAATATTCACGGCAGCGGGATAGAAACCCTCCAAATGAGCCCCAAATCCATGCCCTGACCCCTTTTCCAGAGTCCTGCCCCACCTGGAACGTTCCCAAACCCTCGCAGGCCGTACCTCGAGGTGCTCCAGCGACTCCAGGAGCTGCAGCTGCCTCACCTCCTCCTCATTTCTGGTCTTGATCCGGAGAACCTGGTGCCTGCACGGAATCAGGGCCTTCAGGAGCAGTCATTGAAACGGCTAATTAACGGGGTTAATTGCCTGGGGGGGGTTCGTTTAACCCTCCTGACTCGGCGTCACCCGAGAGTTCACCCAACAACCAGCACCTTCACTGGGAGGGAGGCGACGGCTGGGGGAGGCTTTGGCCGCCCAGGAGGACCAGCCCTGGTCATAAACTCGTGAAACTCCATTTGTGAGCTGGTTTTCGGAGGGAAAATGACGTCGTGGCGGAGTCTGGGGGGCACCAAAACCGGGATTTGTTCCAGGGTTCAGTCCTGGATCGTTGCTGGGTGACGCCGTTCCAAGGGGGAATGAATCCCCCTCTGGAAGCGCCTCGCTCCACCCGCTGTGGAGGGAGGGACAACAACTGGAAGCACGGCCCGGGATCGATTCCAGGGGCAGCTCCAGAGCTGGGAAATACACCTTAAAATGGGGACAAAGAGGGTAAAAGCTGAGCTCGCATTTGTGGGGGTTTATTCACCACCAGCTCACAGCTGGTCCCTCCCTCTGCCCGGCTCAGGGATGAGGTTTTTTTTGGTTGGACCGACTTAAATCAATGTTTTTCCACATTAATAACTCGTTACTGGATTCTCCACCTCTGTTTTATTTCAGGAATGGATATTCCTGAAAATGTCACTGGATTCACGAGAATTCGGTCCAGGATTAAACGAGCAAAGTTTAAATGATCTCCTGGCCTCACAAAGCCCTGGGTTTGAGTAAGTGACATATATTTAAGTTATATTTATTATTTTTTTATTCTTAACCCTTAAATCTCCGTGATTTACTCACTGGGATCCAGTGCTCACTCGCTGAATCCCAGGATTTCTTGATCAGGTTTTTCGTCACCTTTAATTACTAAAAGTCCTTCCAGGGTCAGAGACAATTTTTGCAACGCAACCCAAAGATAAACCTCTGGAATTTAACGGTTGGAGACGAGGGTTTGGATCGCTCAGGAAGGCAGAAATGAGGGAAAGGAGGAGAAATAAACTTGGCAAACAAGGGGAGAGATCTCTGATCCCAAGCCAGGCTCTGGTTTTCAGCTCTGCTTTGTGCTGGACTAGGTCTGTCAAGCTCGAGGTTTAGGTCCAGCTCAAGGCTTGGGGAACAGCAAAAGCCAAAAAAAAGCCTTGGATGAGCAGGAATTCAGGAGCTCAAGTGCTTAGAAAACCTGAATTCGAGCGGAAAGAGGTTCCTTCGCACACCAGGGAACCAAAGGAACGGGAGGAATCGGTCGGAGAACGCCAGGAATGTGCCCCGGGCGGGTTTTGCGAAGCTGAGCTCGAACCAAAACCCAGAGGAACTCGAACAAAAACCCAGAGGAACTCACCCCACGAAGGTCTCCAGGGCCAGGGAAGCCCCGAGGAGGGCACTGAGGAGCAGAACCAGCTTCATCTTCGCCGCAGGCTCGGCTCGGCCTGGGAAAAGGGGGATTTATGCCGGGCTTTATTCCCAGGTAAAACCTTATCTGGGCAGAGCTATCGCCCCACGCGCCCGAGTTCCCACCCTTATCACCCCCCTCAAGGCCGAGGGCACCTCCAGACCCGGATTTTCCAACGGCACAGCCAGAGCAGGGGGGCGGGAGGCGGATCCCGAGCAATGTGTGTCCTTTCACACGGATTCCTGGGAAAACAGGAGTCATCCCGGCCCTCGCCGGGCTGGGGGGTTGTGTCCCAGAGATCCCAGGGAGTTTTATCCCAGTCAACGCTCCCTGTCGAAGGTGCCCAGGTGTTGGAGTTGTTGTTATCCATGTGGAGGGAGCCAAGGCAGTCTCGTGGCTGAACTTTGGGAATAACCTCCCCTGGAGATGGATCCACTTCTTGTTTATCCCACTAAAAATGTTACTGAGGAACAACCAGGAGCTGGATCCACTTCTTGTTTATCCCACTAAAAATGTTACAGGAGCAGATCCACTTGTTTTTTATCCCACTAAAAATGTTGCTGAGGAACAACCAGGAATTGGATCCACTTTTTCTTCATCCCACTAAAAA